TCAGGGCAGAAACCTGGAAGCAGGAGCTGGAGCACAGGCCATGGAGGAACTTCCGCTGCTTACTGGCTTGCTCCCCTGGCCCCTTCTCAGCCTGCTTTCTTAGGCAACACAGGCCCACCTGCCCAGGGGTGGTACCACCCACAGTGGGCTGGGCCCTCCCACATCACTCATCAAGAAGATGCCCTCAGACATGGCCACAGGCCAGTCCAATAGAGGAAATTCCCCAATTGAGGCTCCCTCAACTCAGGTGTGTCAAGTTGACACTAAAGCTGTCCAGCACACCCACCCATGGCTCAGGCACCATTGCAGAAGAGGGGGTGGAAAGATTGTAAGAGGCAGGGTTGATCCATGAACATAGGGAAACAGGCTTTCAAGCCACTGGAAGCTTGCTCATGTGAACATGCAACAATGATGGTGTCAAGCACAGGATCCATGTCAATTCAATCAGACAAGGACCCAGAGTGGAGCAAGGGGAATAGGTGGCAGGCTGACCCTAGCCTGGAAACTGCTGGAGATTCATTACTGCTGGGTGAGGAAGAGTAGACTTTCCTTAAGATCTCTAGATAGGCTGATTAGACTCCAATGGATGAACTTGCACTGAAGGACATCTAGGTACAAATGGTTGACCAGATGAGACTTAACATTTATGGTGGAATGCATGAGTTCCGGCAGGGGAGTCTAAATTTGATTAAGAACTGTTGTATGAAATAAATGTACAAAAGCTCAACAAAAATATTAAACAGAAAAAAGAACAGATATATACAGGAAATGAAAACAAAAGTAAAATAAAGCAAAAATTTTTTTAAAATAAAGTAACTAGGGGCTGGAGAAATGGCTCAGCAGTTAAGAGCACTGACTACTTTTGCAGAGGACCGGAGCTTGATTCCCAATACCTGCATGGCAGTTAACAACCATTCGTAACTCCAGCTCCAGGGAAATCTGACACCTTTTTCTGACCTCCGAGGGCACTGCATGACATGGGTACACTTACCACATGCAGGCAATACACTCATACACATAAAATAAAAATAATAAGAGTGAAATGAAATATAACTAAAAAAGCAAATTTAAAATGAGTAACCACAGAAAAAGATAAGCAAGTGAAGTGACAGGTAAACTACATTGATTTTACATTGTATCCCATAAATGTACACAATTATCATTTGTCTATTTAAAATAATGTTAATTTTTCAAGGATTAAAAAATTACCTATTATTACTAGCTACCTGAAACACTAACAATCTCTTTCATAGTCTATCTCTAGGCCCTCAGCCATATAAGAAGTCATTCACACTCTGATTCTACCTCGAATTCCTTACTTATTTATCCTTTTTTTTATTGAGACAGGGTCTCATTATACAGCCCTGGCTGGCCTTGAGTCTACCTCTGCCTCCTGAGTGCTGGGATTAAAGGTATGTGCCACTACACCTGGTCTTATCCTCTTATTTTGTACTTTTTTTTGGGGGGGGGTTGTGGGATAGGGTTTTATTATGCAACCCAGAATGGCCTCTAATTTATGATCCTCCTGCCTTGACCACCCAAGTGCTGGGATTAAAGGTGTGCACCACCACACCCAGCTCATCATTTCTTAATTTATATTATTCTACTCGTAGAAATATAAACTCTCTGAGGATAGCAAACACTTCTTACTCATCATTGAATTCCTTGCAATTTCTAACATAAAAATTACAACAGGGACTCAAATACTTTGTTGAACTATATATTGAATACCCTTTCATAAGTGGGCTTCTAAAAGTATAATAACCCTTCAAAGCCTTTTACTCAAGCTCTATTGTCCAACTTTGAAAATTAAGACACATTTAATTCTAAAATTTTACTACGAACAAAGATGATATATCTATATTTTCCCCAAAACAAATATAGAACATTTTATATGACCCCAATAGAGTTCAAGTACATAGTATAAATCTAAATTATCTTACTGTTATTTTTAAATTAACACTGTTGTACAAGACTAACCCATAATGGGGAGGAAGGTTTGTTTATCTTTATTTTCTTTCCTTTCCCCAGAGCCTTGTGCATATTAAGTAGTAAGCGGTCTACCACTGAACTACATCCCTTTTCCCACAAATAAACTGAACTAAGTAAGTCAATTTTATCAACTTCAACATGAAATGTGGCAATTTCTAAAGTAAAATGAACAGTTATACATACACTGGTTACTTTCCGGTATATTTGAGCTGCATTCTGGCATTCAGAATATGGATACTCCGAAGTAGCCATTTCTAGCATACACATTCCAAAAGCATAGACATCTACAGATTCATCATAGTGCTCTTCATACATCTCTGGAGCCATAAACTCAGGAGTGCCTACAAAATAATACCACAAGCAATACGTTATTGTTGTTGCTGTTTGGTTTTATGAGACAGGGTCTCCGTATAGTTGCAGCTGGCCTCAAACTTGCTATGTAGACCAGGATGGCCTTGATCTCACAGAGATCTACCTGTCTCTGCCTCCTGAGTGCTGGGATTAAATGTGCATGCCACTATGCCCAGTTTGCCTCAACCGTATTTTTATTAAAGAGAAAAATATATGAATTACGATTCTCTTTCCCATAAAAATTACCTATTAATTTTTTCTCCCAAAAATCAAATCTAAAAGTATAAAATAGCACTTAAAGAATTTCTTAATATTTTGTATTGATGAAGTAACAACTGAAAATGCTCAAGATTAGGTTATGGATTTTAAAACTCTGACTTAAGTCAAGCATGACTTAAGCTCACACTTGCAATCCTAGCACTTAGGAGTTATAGGCAAAAAGGTCAGGAGTTTAAGGTTATTCTCAAGTACATGGCAAGTTCAAGGCCAGCCTGGCCTACATGAAATCCTATCCCTGAATACCAAAGAAAGATAGACAGAGATAAATTTGATTTCACTTCTATCTTTTTTTTAGTGCAAATTTTTGTAAATTAACTTAGTAAACTTTGTTCCTTAAATCCTCAGAATCTTTCAATAATCCCAAATATATTCTACAAAATATATACATTATGATGCATTTGAAATAAGTTAATTTATATATAACAGGTATTTCAAAGCAACTTCACACTTCTGGCAGGAACTGGTAAATTTTTCTGTGACGCACCAGACAGTGACTATTTCAGACTTTTTGTCACACAACTATTCAACTCTGTAGTCCAAAAATACCTACATATAACCTACAACTGAATGGTTGTGGTTGTGTTCCAGTAAAACTTGATTAATAGTTGATTATGTTGGCTCGACGTATAATTACAGCACATGAGGATAAGGAGCTCAAAGTCATCTTCTGCTACATAGTGAGTTTGAGACTAGCCTAGGTTACACAAGACCCTGTCTCAACTCCCCCCACCCCCACACCCCACACACAATAAAACAACAAAACAGGAAGTGGCCCAAATTTGGCTCAAGAACATAGTTGATTCATCTCTGTTCTAGACCTATACAACTGACAAATCTAATACCCAGCCAGGAAACCATAAAACGCTAGTCACCAATGACACTCTTAGCAAATGATGTGCGCATTAAGGTTGCCAGTCCCAGATCACCAATCTTCACAGATCCAGTGGGTCCTGTGATGAAAATGTTGTCGCATTTCAGATCCCGATGAATAATAGGAGGAGTCCTTGTATGCAAGAACTGCAATCCTTTTAAAATTTGCCTGCACCAGCTTCTTAAGACTTTTGGTTTCATGACTTTAAATCGTTTTAAGTACCTATACAAAGAAATAAAAGACCATCTGTAAACAAACATCCTCAGATTATTGTATAAATACCATTAGGAGCGAACTGTCCATTTATGTACTAAGATTGCTCAATTTTTTTTAAAAAAATTGTATTTTATTTACATATGTTTGTGTGTGTGTGTGTGTGTGTGTGTGTGTGTGTGTGCGCATATGTATGTGCAAGCACATTACAGATGCCCATAGAGGCCAGAAGAGGGCATTGGATCTCCTGGAGCAAGAGTTACAGGCAGTTATGAGTTGTTCAGTAGGGGTCTGGGAACCAAACTCAGGTCTTCTGCAAGAACAGCAAGCATTATTAACTGCTGAGTCATCTCCCCAGCACCTAAATTGTTTTCTATTATCTTGTTGCAAAAAAAAAAAAAAAAAGGTTGTCCTCACCAGGCTGGTGGCACACACCGTTACAGAATGGGTACACAGACTCTGGAGGCAGAGGCAGGCGAATCTCTGTCAGTTCGAGGCCAGCCTGTTCTACATACCAAGTTCCAGGCCAGCTGGGGCTACAGGGAGTCCCTGTCTCAAAAATACAAAAAAAAAAAAATGTTGTTCTAAAACCTTATTCTCATTCTCATCTCACATTTCAGGGACTGCAAGACTCAACTCCTCCATCCCACCTCACAATTCCTAAATAAAACTGTTTGAATCTCCCCCAAAAGATATCCTACAAAGTATAACATTTTTAATTCAAAGTAAGCCTAAGAATCATGCCAGAATGTCCTTTTTTTGGAACAAAAACATCATTTTAAAAAAAGAAAGCCCCTCTATACTTCTTAGGAACTACTTACACAGTCACCAGAAGATATGGCTATGAAAATTTTTAGTGCAAAAAGTTAGAACAAAATGCATAGTACACACTTAATTACAACTGATTATATAATGAATTCATACCAAATGAAAAACTGATTATACACAGGACTATAATATAGTATTTATTCATTGCTAGAATTGTAAACTTGGTCAAGCACCCAGCCATTCATTATCTTTGACAAAATAAAATTATACTCTGTATATAATGATTTTCAACTCTCAAATTCTACGCTGTCTCTAAAACATTAACTTTTGGGGTATTTTTTCTTTCTGCTGTTTTTAAGTGTGAACTTGTACACAAATGTGCAGATTCAATGTTCTTGTTACAGACTGAATTAATTTTTATTTTGAAGAAAAAAAGTATTTTTGCATTTTTTTAAAAGACTTATTTTGGTGGCTGGAGAGATGACTCATCAGTTAAGAGCGCTGACTGCTCTTGCAGAGGACCTGGGTTCCATTCCCAGCACCCACATGGTGGCTAACAACTATCCCTAACTCCAGTTCCAGGGGATCCAATATCTTCTTCTGACCTCTACAGGCATTGCATGACACGGGTGCACTTACATACATGTAGGCAATAACTCTCACACATAAAATAAAAATAATTAAAAATATATTATTAAAATAAAATTTTTTATTTTCTTTTTTTTTTATATTTTAAAGCTTGTATTTATTTGTAATCCTTTATGTGTATTAGTGTTTTGCCTGCATGTATATGTACCACATTAAGGAACTGGATGGAGTTAAGAATAGTAAACTGCCATGTGGGTGCAGGGACCTATACTCATGTCTTCAGCAAGAGCAGCAAATGCTGTTAACTGCTAAGCCATCTCTTCAACCCCAAAAGATTTATTCTATTTTTAGTTATGGGTGTATTATATGTGAGGGAGATTAAGCAAGTGTGAATGTGGTTGCCTGTGGAGACCAAAGGCACTGGATCCCTGAAGTTAGCATTGCAGGTGGTACACATAAGTTGCCTGATGTGGGTGCTGGAAAATGAGCTTGGGTCCTCTGTGAGAGTAGAACATGCTCTTAATCATTGAGGCATCACTTCAGTCCTCTTGTGTGTTTTTGAGGCATGGTCTCATGTAGCCCAGGCTGGCCTTGAACTAGCCATGTGCTAAGAATGATTCTGAACTTCTAATCCTCTTGCATCTACCCTGCAAGTGCTGGGATTAAAAGTTATGAACCATCCTGCCCAGTTTTATGTGGTACAGGGGCCAAACTCAGGGTTTCATGCATGCTAGTTGAGTATTCTACCAACTGAGCTACATGCCTAGCTACTAAAACACCAACTTCTCAGCACTAACAAACTACATTAAAATCTTGATTGTTTAATTTACCTGAAACAGACTCTACAAATTCTTTTTTTTTTTTTTCCTCTTCTTTTTCTGTAGTACTGGGGACAGAACCCAGGGTCTTGTACTGGTAAGTGCTATACCACTGAACTATATCCCCAGCCCCTCTACAAACCCTTAAATCAAAAGTTTATAAACAACTTTTATGACTCATTAAAATGACTTCCAAATAAAACTCAATTGGTACTATCAGAGTCATCAGAGTCAACTTACGTCTTTAAGGTTCCTGATGTCATTAGTTCAGTCACTAATACAATACATTTCTTTCCTTTTAATATAGACTCCCAGGAATCATAAAATCGAACTATATTGGGATGCTGGAGTCCTTTCAACATCTCTGCTTCTTCTTTGAACCTTTGCTGCTCAGCTTTGGTTAACTTGCGATCCTAAAGTGGAAGAACAAACCCCAAATTAATACCAGAGAAATTTCCATGACAATTATAATAGCTCAACCGCATGCTTTATTATACACATAATATATATATATGTATATATATACACACATATATATATCTTTCACCTACCAATTCTTTTTTCAAGATTTAGAGAATCACTGGTATCCTTTCTTAATTCAAGGAGGCAACACAACTATTGTTACATTTCATAACTATGCTATAAACACACCTACATAATACATCTATCAGTGGTAAAGTAATTACATTATCTCAATACAAATTAACAAAAAGTAATAAAAGATAAAAGAGCAACATTTCCTTAAGAAATCCTTGAGTTTTTTAAAATTATTTTTATTTTTTTATTTTTATTTTATGTGTACGCGTGTATTGCCTGCATGTAGGTAAGTGCACCCGTGTCGTGCAATGCCCACAGAGGGCCGAAGAGGCTGTCGGATCCCCTGGACTGGAGTTATGGACAGTTGTTAGCTGCCATGTGGGTGCTGGGATTTGAACCTGGGTCTTCTGCAAAAACAACCAATGTTCTTAACCACTGAGCCATCTCTCCAGCCCCATAAATCCCTGATCTAAAAGATCTATAATGTCAGGACAAGAATAGTCATAAGATACCTAGACAGTTATTCCAGTTTATTTTCCAAATGAAACTGATCTGTTTCCAGATAAATGTATTGGCCTACTAACTAATGAAAAATCTTCAAATAGGCGCTGGACCTCTAATCTGCTATATTAAATGCTAGAAGTCATGGGAGCAATGATTACTGAATTCTAAAGAGAAGGACTATGATCCTAAAATTCTGAAGTCAGACAAGCTATCAATTAAACAAGGAAAAACACCTATATTTCTAAAATGGGGACAGAGAAAGCATACCATCCCACACACCCTTTCTGGAAATATTACTCAAAGACATTCAATAAAAAATGTTGTAAGGGGCTAGAGAGATGGTTCTGCTGTTAAGAGAGCACTTGTTGGTCTTTCAGAGGATCCAGGTTTAGTTCTCAGCACCCACATAGTGGCTGACAACCATCTGTAACTCCAGTTCCAGGGGATATGATGCCCTGTCCCAGCACTTTGTAGGCACTGCACACATGCAGTACACTTATATACATGCAGACAAAATACTCAAATACATAAAATTTAAAAAATAAATCTTTTATAGGCTAATAGGGCTGGGCACATAACTTTAATTTCAGCATTCAGATGGCAGAGGCAGGCAGATCTATGTGAATTCAAGGATAACATGTCTACATAGCAAGTTCCAGGCCAGCCAGGGAAACACAGTGAGACCTTGTCTCAAAAAAAATGTGCCCAAATAAAGTCATTAGAAGAACAAAATGTTAGATAGAGTGGTGGTATGTAGCCCATTCTGGCCTTGAATTTATGATCTTCCTACCTCAGCCTCTCAAGTTCTGGGATTACAGGTGTGCAACCACCGTATACTAAATTCTTTAATCCATCTTGAATTCGTTGCTATATCTGCAAAAATTTTCTTCAAGATGATTAATCACTTGTGCTAGCATCATGTAAACTAATATTCATAATGACTTGAAGAACACAGTTCTCCTTCAAAGAGTGCACCGTGTTGTACATGCCTGTCGCCCAAGCAACCAGGAAACTGAGACAGGAAGATCAAGAGTTAGAAGTCAGTCTGAGTTACATGGTATGACTGTCTCAAAAAAACAAACGAAAATATAAGATGTCTACAGTACTGTACATACTATACAGTATTGTGTGTTCATTTATCTTAGGCTCTACTTTATTCTACCAATCTATTCTCATGTCAGTTACCACACCATATGAATTCAAGTGGATTCTAGTATGTTTAATAATGGAAGAAATGTTGCTTATCATTTTCTTCACTATTCATCTACTTACATCCCAGCACTTGGAAGGCAAAGGCAGGCAGATCTCTGTGAGTTCAAAGCCAGCCTGTTCTACATAGCAAGTTCCAGGCCAGCTGGGGCTACTGGGAGACCCTGTCTCAAAAAAACAAAAAAAATCTATTAGAATGCTAATTAGAATTATACATACATATATATGTATATAAATAAATTTGGGGAAAACTTATGTAAAAGTCATCTAAATCAGCCAGACATGGTAGCATGTACCTGTAGTCAAAGCAACTTGGGCAGCTGGGTAAGATTTCTTAAGCCAAGGAGTTCAGGGTTAGCCTCAGCAATATAAATATAAGCCACTTGAAAATGATATATAACATAACCAGTTGATCAGAGCTTCAATAGTACTTGGGGGCGGTGTGTGATACTCTCTCGGCTCTTTTTTCTGAACATCATGCTTATTTTTAAATTTACATTTGGCAAAACTTACTCTTCTGGTGTATAGTTCCATGAGTTTCAACAAATACATATTTATAATCACCACCACACTCTTTTAGCTACCAGTTCTATTGCTTCCAAAATATTCTCCTGTGCTGTCTCTTCATCGTCAAACTCTCTCTTCACTCTTACAACATGGAAACCACTGATCTATTTATTATCTAATTATGACCATCCCATAAACTCTTGTAGATGTAATAGACAGTAATCTACTGTCTACATCACTCAGCATAATGTGTTTTAGATTGATCCATACTGTTGCAAGTATCAATAGTCTGTTGTTCTTAATTATGTAGTATTCCATCAATGAATTAATGTACCAGACTATGGTATATTGCTCAGATTAAGGACAGATGGTGGTTTCAACTTTGGACCAATTTTAAAGGTGCTATAAATATTCATGCATAAGTTTTCATGTGAGCTTAAGTTTTTTTAGGTAAATACTTCAGGTGGGACTTATGAGTACCCTAGTACATTTCTTTTCTTTTTGTTATTTGGCTGGGGATTTTCCCTTTGTTTTGTTTTGTTCCAACGCTGTGGACCAAACCCAGGGCCCTGCCCATGCAAGGCAAGAACTCACCACTTAGGTACTACATCCACAGCCTTAGGAAAGCATATGTAACTTTACAATAAATTGATAAAGTACTCTCATGAATAACATATGAAAAGTAAAAAATAAATGTAAAATTGAAATACTGAACCACTAGTACTTCAAGAGAAGCAAAATAAAAATTCAGTATGTGGGAGCTGGAGTGATGGCTCAGCAGTTAAGAGCATAGGCTGCTCTTGCAGAGGACCTGGGTTCAATTCCCAGAACCCAAATAGCAACTAACAATCATCCGTAACTCCAGTTCCAGGGGAATCTGATGCCCTCTGTTGGCCTCTGCAGGCATTACATGACATGAATGCACTTACATACATGTAGGCAATACACTCATACACACAGAAAATAAAAATATTTTAAAACATCAATATGTGTGAATTTCGCTGTCTGCAACATCCTCACCATGTACCTACCAGTACAGTAGGTATTTTTGTTTGTTGGGGTTTTTAAAGCTATTTTAATAGATATATTAAAACCAGATTATAAGGTTTTAATTAACAATGTTGACCCATACATACAACTTCTTTGGTAAAATGTGTCTAATTCTTTTTTGGTTTGGGTAATGCTGGGGGCTCGAACCAAGGACCACAGTTCATCATTTCTTGCTAGGCAAATGCTCAGTACCTGAACTACATCCCCCAATCTTTGTTCAAATCTCTAGTTCATTTTCACTGGATTATTTGAATTTGTTGTTGAGTAAAGTTCTTTATATATGCTAATATAAAATCTCTCCCATATAAATGATTTTAAAATATTCTTTTATTTGGTGGGTAGATATTGAAACAGAGTCTCCCTGTAGCCCCAGCTGGCCTAGAACTCACTAGGTAGACTAGGATGGCTGTGATCTCATAGAAGTCCACCTGCCTCTGCCTCCCAAGTGCTGGTATTAAAGGCATGTGCCACTAAGTCTGGCTGAAATATTCTTTAGTTTTGATGAAGCCAAATTTGTGTTTTTTTCTCTTATGGATCATACTTTTGTTATATACATTAAGACCTTATTTAACTAAAGATCACAAAATTTTTCTCATTTTTTCCTCTCATTTTATTTAAAGGTCTGTAATATAGTTTGAGTAAATTTTTGTGTAAGCTGTGAGATTTAAGTTGAGGTTCATTTCTTAATGTATTAACATCTAATTATTCCATCATTGCTTATTGAGAAGACCATTCCTTCCACACTGAATTACCACTGAAGTTCTTAAAGTCACTTGTTTAAGGTTTAATTCTGCAATTAGCTATGTTCCACTTATCTGTGTTTCCAATCTCTTTCCAAGTATCATAAATGTTTCAATTACTATATTAAAGCCTGGAAACCAGTTAAAATGAATTCTTCTACTTTTATCAAAATTTTTTTGGTTATCCTATTCTCTATTAGTATTCATTTGTACAATGGCAAGTCAGCATAGAAAGAATGATTTAAAAATTTTTTGATTTATTTTATGTATGAGTGTATGTATGCACCTAAGTCATGCAATGTCTGTGGAGGTTGGAAGAGGGCATTGGATTCCTGGAACTGGAGCTACGGATGGCTGTTAGTTACCATGTGGGTGCTGGGAATTGAACCTGGGTCTTCTGCAAAAGCAGCCAGTGCTTTTAACCACTGAGCTCCGAAAGAATTTTTTTTAAAAAAAATTATTTTTATTTTATGTGTATGTTTGAGTGCCTGTATGTATGTATGTGCACCTTATGTATGCTTTGTGCCTGTAGAAGCCAGAAACAGGCACTGAATCCCTGGAACTGCAGTTAAATGGGGTTGTGAGTCACCATGTGAGTGCTGGGAATTAACTCATGTCCTCTGCAAGAATAGAAAGCTCTCTTAATAACAGAGCCATCTCTTTAGCCCTGAAAGAATTTTTTCAAACTTTTTAAATCTTCCAATAGAGCCTTCAACCCAACCAATTCATCTATTTAGGTCTTTGACTTCTTTCATCAGTATGTTCTAGTTTCCAACACATAGATTCTGTACATCATTCTGTAATATGTATACTATTATAAAAGATACTTAAATTGATTTCTAATTACCTTTATTTATTTATTATTT